TAAACAAGCAGCCTGTCGGCTGAGATAGCTCCGCTGTTAGCAATGCACATGGCAATTAAAGAACAGAAGATATCATTAGAAAATGAACAAATCTGAGAGAGGTCCACATGTAGTACTATATGTATAATATATCAAAGCAATTGGACTTGCGGTTTTCAACAAGTCGAAAATATCACTTTTTACCAAAAATTACAAAAATATTCATCAAAATTAGAGAATTAAAGATATCATTATGAAATGAACAAATCTGAGAGAGGTCCACATGTAGTACCTATATATGTAATATCAAAGCAATTGGACTTGCGGTTTTCAACAAGCGAAAATATCACTTTTTACCAAAAATTACAAAAATATTCACCAAAATTAGAGAATTAAAGATCATTACAAAATGAACAAATCTGAGAGAGGTCCACATGTAGTACCTATATATGTAATATCAAAGCAATTGGACTTGCGGTTTTCAACAAGAAGTCGAAAATATCACTTTTTACCAAAAATGACAAAAATATTCACCAAAATTAGAGAATTAAAGATATCATTACAAAATGAACAAATCTGAGAGAGGTCCACATGTAGTACCTATATATGTAATACCAAAGCAATTGCACTTGCGGTTTTCAACAAGAAGTCGAAAATATCACTTTTTACTAAAAATGACAAAAATATTCACCAAAATTAGAGAATTGAAGATATCATCATGAAATGAACAAATCTGAGAGAGGTCTACCCAAGGTACATATACACCAAGTATCAAAGCATTCAGGCTTGTAGTTTTCAAGAAGAAGTCGAAAAAGTAAAACATTGACACGGACGACGACGACGGACGACGACGACGATGGAGGACAATCACTCATATGATAAGCTCCGCTCGACAAAGTCGACAGCGGAGCTAAAAAACCAAAAAAAACAAACAAAAACATAAAAACAGGCAAATGCTGCACACAAATTTTGAAGAGAAAAACTATTGGGAGGGAGGGGGTGTACAGAATAAGTGCCTACCGGGTAGTACCATTATTTTCATTGTAAGATCCACCATGATTAATAATATAACAATATGTCTACACGCAACACAAAACATTTGTATTTGATAAATTAAATACAACGGATATCATATGGTTTAACCAAATATTAAGTATCACTAATCTAGCAACTTACAAATATCCTGTAATCTCAAATCTCACCTAACACATATGTATACTGTGCACAGTACCTGGTAAATGATTTATTCAGAATTAGCTTTGTTTTTTGAGATCAGATGGAGTCCCAGAAAGTATAGTGTTTCCATCCACTCTCACTCTTATTTTTATAAGCAGTGAGTTAAACCATAGGATCAGCCAATGACAAAGAAAACATTCAATCTAATACAATGTATGTCAATACATTGATCAATGAAATGAAACATTTATCTCTAAGGATGTTTGGCCCATGTACTTTTACACTGACTTTCCTAGTAAGTATTAATCTAACACGCTAATGTAATGGTCAATGACAAATGAAATATTTAATTTAGATTGGTCAACATTTTATCTACAGTACATGACATTTGACAAAATATATGCCAATTTATATAAATTACAATAAAATGAGATTTTATCAAAACTTGACAAAAAATGAACTATTTCTAGACAAGCCAGTAGAAATATAACAAACAAGTGAATTTATAACAATACTAGATTGCGGAAAGTAACACAAGATCAAAATAGCAGCGGTTTGAAGGTGATAACCACAGTTTGAAAATGTAAATCTATAGTGTAAATTAAGGCAATGCAAACAGAGTAGACTTACTGAAATACACTAGTACCTTTGATAACATGGTGCATAGAGTAGCCACGTTCATTTTAACAATGGTCCTACACATGGCTTATGTACACAACCCAATGCGGTCATTTAAGGTCATTGGGTATAGGTCAATGGCCATTGGTTGAGTGGGACATAGCCATCCCATAGCCGCAAATAACTGTGGTTAATAGTCCTGTTAGGGAACACAACATATTTTCCTACATATAATTGTTTGTGGCAATATTATAAATGAAATGTCAAAATGAACAAATAAAAAGTGGGATATTTTGAGTTACAATAGAGTGGGCGTTATTTACATATTATAAAATTAATTGGTAGTCGGCTTCCCACTCAACACCGCCATGGATCCTACTATAGCAAGGCGAGGTACACTGATTTGAATAAAACAAATGAACCAAACACAAACTAACAACTGCCAGATCCATGATTTAACTGTGAAAATTTCAATTACACTTCAAATTTGGTGCAAGTTCATTAAAATATCATGCAAGGGGAATCAAGCTTTGGTTAGTACTGGTGTATGCATGTGCATTTGTTGTATTGTGTCTTACGCATCCACCTCATTTTGCTATAGCAGTGTTGAGTGGGCAGTCAACGACTAAATATAAATATCGCTCATTCTGACAATGCTATGGATCCTGGAGTAGCCATCTATATCATCGTCCGCCTGCACGGTGTTGCTCCGTTCGAACATTCCTCCCTCCACAACACCGTGCGGTAATTCTATTCATAACCGTGTATGTCACGTGGTTGCGCGATAGAAAGTTTACCGACCAATAGAAAGCTTTGTTACAATGACTACCAAAAAGCGTTTGGGGCTTTGCATTTCTGATGTCTTCATCTTCGGCTTCATTTCTGCCAATATATGTTGCAGTGACACCATGAGCTTTG